CCTTTGTTCTAACATAGGTTTGAAGATAAAAGCCGATATGTACTCTACCGGTAGTGTATTTTGCCAATATTTTCAATAAAGTTCATTTGCTGTGACGTTTGCAGTCTAATTCAGCTTATCTGAGGGAAATTTATGGTGGCACATTTGAACCACCTATTTGTTGCAAACAACGGGAATGTATCGAAAATCGGAAAGAGGATATGGAACTAACAAAAAATATCAGAACCCTACAAACAGACGATTGTGTACGAGAGTTTGCGGCGCTGGTAGATATATGAATAGACATACACTAGTCAGTGCGTATCAGTGCCACAAGGCTGCAAAAACGCTATAAGAGTGCTGCATGCAATCAAAAGGGCGTTCGTTACCTTTGACCAAGACCTTTTTGGGAGTTTAGGGCACTTTTGTTCGGCCCCACTTAGAATATGGCCTACAAGCATGGCGGCCATGGCTAGTAAAGGACCAAGCTTACCTCGAACGGGTACAACGGCGTGCAGCAAAGCTGTTAAACGGTCTAAAATGCCAATCATACACAGACAGACTGAATTGCCTAAATTTATTCCTTCTGTGTTACGGGCAGCAAAGAGGTGATCTCATCCTCGTCTAGAAGATAATACATGGCCTTGAGCATGGACTCAAATTTGAGGACATGTTTTAGTGGCACCTTTCATCCAATCTTCGTGGTCACTCTATGAAGTTACGGACAACAATGTGCAGGCTGAATCTTCATTCCGAATTTTTCTTGCAAAGGGTAAAGGAGAAATGGAACGATCTCCCTCAGTCAGTCGTGGAGGCTACGTCTCTGCAACCCTTCAAGAAACGCTTGGATGATTATTTGTGTCCCCTGCTTTCCCTCGACAGTCTGAATCTCGACTAATACCCCACAACCCCGCAAATATTTTCTCTGATACAATGCCACTCATATGAATTAAGTACTGTTTTAATAGCGAATATATTTATTGTTCGTGTACAGTTATTTCAAACAAGCTGACATGTAATCAATAGGGTTTTCAAGGGCTTTACCTTTTATCCTTACCAAATAAACTGAAAAAAAAACCAACTGAAACTGAAAAATACACTGCTCAAACAAAATTATGCTGTAGACTAAGCAGTGCGATGTCAATACGAAGTGCCATTGAATATGCATGAGTCATAATCGGGGGTGCAAGTTCGCAAACAAATCTTACTGAAACACGTGCAGAAGCATAGGAACGGCAACAAATCGTTGCTTAGGGCGTCAATGCGACGTCGGAAGGATGGCACTGTCGCGCATAATTCTGTACTGGTCCAGTTTTCTCTTAAAAGCTTCTTAAGATTTAGACGTAACGACATTTTCAGGCAGAGAAATCCAAGCTTTAACCACTTATTTGGAGAAAAAGAAATTCCGTGTGTCCAGTCAACCCCGATCATATACTTTCTGAGTAGATTTCCTCACATATTCGTTGAGGTTGCTGACTCGTAAAAGCCTCAGCCTACAGGCTATCAGTCCTGACCGTGTATGATGCAGGACGTCTTCATACGGTCGCCTCGTAGCTGTCTGTAGTTCATCGGAAAGAGATTTCAATTAGACAAGTGTTCCATAGCGTAGTGAGACCTGCACACCTTTGAAATTTTTCGAGGATGCTGAGGTCCATGGTTATCCTGGGTCTCCAGCCTTAAATGACGATCTCCAGCTTGTAGTGAAAATGGCTATTAATAGAAGAGCGAAGCCCTCTCCAGTATCAGTTTTGGTAACATGAATGCGCTGGGTAAAGTCTAGAAGATTCCTAACTGAAAACGGTTAGTGGATCTTGTTGCAGGGGTAAATTCAAGCCAGGCAAGATACGTCGGAGAAATGGAAATGTTTCGTGGCAATTGACTAGAACGGATCGAGGCGTATGAGCGTAACCAACGGAACAATGACACCACGCAGTAGACAGACACAAAGCACGCGTTAACGTAAGCCTAAACCCGGTGTGTGTCTTTTAGCATATTCAAACAGCAGTGCAGAAATGTTCGGGTGTAAAAGAAAGTTTAAAGTGAAAAATCGAAAATTTATATAGACCTACAAGTTGTAGGCGCACAAACCTTCGAAAGACTCTACCGAAACGATTTTCACGGAAGGTATAGAAATCTCTCTTGACAAAGCATAGGGCTGACGTTCCGGACTTGGCTATCTTTGAGCAATGTAACAATGGTTTACGTGAAATCGTCAGTCAGTCAGTCAGTTAGTGTATTTGAGGGAAATAGGCTTACGCCTTTGAACTCCCTATTTGTACATAAAAAATCGATAAACAAGCAAAAATGTGAATAAATTACAGCATTAAGTGAAGGCATACATTGATTCACATATGTCACTAGTCACATGGCTAAAAAGTCACATAGTCCGCTTGTTGCTGCAGCATATATCTGTCGAGGCGACATTTAAATGCCTCCACAGATTGAGACATAACAACCGTCTCGGGCAGGTTATTCCAAGGTTCCAAGACACGGTTGGAGAAGAAATATTTTCTCACATTCAGTCTACCCTGTGGCACACGTAGTTTGAAGGGATGTCCCCGGAGGTGAGTTGTAGTGGCGAGTTGGAAAAAGTCATCACGCCGAAGGGCACAATCCAAGCCGCGCACGATACGGAAAGTTTGTATCATGTCTCCGCGCAACTGCCTATACCTCAGAGGATACAGATTAAGGTTAGTTAAGCGGATCTCGTATGGCAGTGCACTTTGACCTCTTATTAATTTTGTTGCTCGTCTCTGCACCCTTTCGAGCAGATCGTAATCCTGATGCGTCCACGGTCTCCAGGCCTGAATTGCATATTCGAGATGGGGCCTTATAAACGTGCCGAAGACTTTGGTGAAGCAGTCTTCATCGAAAACTACGAATGCCCGCTTGATGGCATATAGCATTGAGGTTGCGGCCTTGGCCGCCTTACAACATTGTGTAGAAGGCTTTAAGCTGTCTTCAACCCAGACTCCGAGATCTTTCTGCGTTTTTGCATCTCGAAGTGGTATTCCGTTCAGATGGTATTGCAGCGTATTAGGGGTCTGATTTCCGAGGCACAGAATGGTGCATTTGTTCAAATTGAAGGACAAGAGCCATCTGCGGGACCACTAGTCCAATCGACAAAGATTTTCTTGGAAGTTGGTCTCATCGGCGGCATTCTGGATGACTTTCCAGATTTTTATGTCGTCCGCAAACATGGCACAATCACAGTCCAACCCATCCACACAATCATTGATGAACAAGAGAAAGAGGGTTGGTCCGAGCACCGAGCCTTGTGGGACCCCACTCTCTATGAATGGGCACCTTGATTGCTATTGTTCTACGCAGACAATTTGGGAGCGGCCGACAAGGAAATTTTCGATCCATTTGAGAAGTTTGCCACCGATGCCCATAATTCTCAACTTGTGTAGGAGACGCTGGTGCGGAACACTGTCAAACGCCTTCCGAAAATCAATACAGGCAACATGCACGGTGTGTTTTGCGTCCAGTGCTCGTGTCCAACTTTGCATTGTGTATAGCAAGTTCGTAACACATGATCTTCCCCTACGAAAACCATATTGTGTATTGGACAAGAGGTTGTGGGTTTCCAAGTAAGCCATCAACTCCTTTTTGATGGTTTTCTCCATCACTTTTCAGCAGATTGATGTCAGACTGACGGGTCTGTAGTTTGTCGCCAGAGCACGACTACCGCTTTTGTAAAAGGGTGTAATGTGGGCCGTCTTCCAGTCTGTGGGAAGAATTCCAGCATCAAACGATTTCTTGCACAGAAAGGATAGTGGCTTGGCCAGCTGTTGGGCAAGTTCAAAAAGCAGCTTTGCTGGGATCTCGTCCGGACCGGGAGATTTACATTCCTTCAAGCTTTTCAGTTCTTCCAAAATCGCTTCTTCTCGAAACACAATATTTTCGATAGTGGGATCTCTCATGTTCTCAGAATTAGATGGGGTAAAGTCTGCTTCTCTTGTGAAAACGGATCGGAAAAATTGAGAAAAGTGCTCAGCCTTATTTGTACTGTCCGATATCTCCAAGCCGTCATCACCCCTCATAACAGGAATGGGATTCCTGTTACGTGTGCTTTTCCGCAAATAGCTGTAGAGCAATTTCGGATTTTTAACGGCTTGGTGGAGCAAATTACTCTCAAAATCTCGTCGCCTCCTGAAAATCAGACTTTTCACCTTATTTCTTTGAACTTTGTATTCTGTAAACGCTGAATTGTTGTTGTTCTTGCGAAATTTCTTCCATAACCTTCCTTTCTTGTTGATTTCCTTTTTGAGCTCTCGTGTTAGCCACTGAGGGCGATTGGATATCCTAGGCCTTGATAAGGGACAGTGGTTCTTCATTAGATGCAGTAAACTATCCTTGAATAAATTCCAGTCCTCGTTAACGTTTCCGGAGAAGAGAACATCCCAGTCTATCTGTGATGCCTCAGCTCTCATTTGGCGAAAGTCCCCTTTCCATATATTTGGCCTCGTATTGTGAACACACACCTAGATCATTATGGACGTCCACATCTTTCAGTGGTATGGCATTCAGACGGGAAACCCGGCGGTTCGAAGATCGAGTTTTGCCCACTGGTAGGATGCTGCGTTCGCTCACATTAAACCTAAAATTCCAGTCAATGGACCATTGTTAGAGTTGACTCAGTTTCGCCTGTAAACGCGTGTCATAGTTGTGCATATCCCTATTACCTCTTCGAGTAAGAGTGGTATTCTGCGAGCTCTTTAAATAACCCCCTTTTGGCATACTCTTTTTATAGCGTTGCCGTCTTTTTCTGCAGGATATGTACTCGGGTGTCTTCTCTCCGACGGTCAAGACTATATTCCATTAAATTCCAGAAAGCAGTTAGGACACCCTTAGTACGCCTGGTTGCATGTCCCTTGTCGCTCCCTAAAGGGCCTTGGCCTATTATCATAGGCCCTGTGTTTTTTTTATCGTGAGCCTGTAAATTCAGATTTCTCTTGTTGAGTGGAGTGCGGTCAACCGACGTTTTAATTCTCCTTAAAGTAGCGCACCGCCTCAAAATGTCTGACCTGCTTAGAAGGCAGTTCGGCTCAAGGTTGAGAAGCCATGACAGGTGAGGCAAGGCTTCTCACTTTGACACATTCTTTTCAGCAACTTGTCTAATCACCACACGTCCACCTCCTTCCACCCGTACAAATGGTCGAAGTACTTCAACATCCGCGATGACATCGAAATAGAATCTGGGGTAAAAGAAGCCAGTATTTTGTCTGTATTTAGCAGACTTTTAGAATATACCGCCGTGGGGTTGAAGGTCCCTTGCTATTCTTCATTCACGGTGGTGGATTTTCTGCCTTGTCATGGGCCGTATTAAGTGTAGGTTTGCGTTTACTATATTTACTTACCAGGCTGCAATGACTCGGGAAGTCCGTTGCCAATGTCTGGCTGTTGACATGCGTGGCCACGGTACTTAGATCTTTGCTTTTTCTGAGCTCCATCTAGGTGACACTCACTGTCATGACGAGTCGGATTTGTCGATTGAGACGCTTACGTCAGACATAATCAAAATAATCTTTGCAATGTTCCCCACGGAGGCACCACCTATCGTACTCATCGGTCACAGGTAACTTTCTGTGAACTAGTTCTCATTCTTAGTATATGCATTTTTCCCTTGTATGCCTGCATTCATCAACTTTCTTATTACCCGATAGTGAGGACTGAAGTCAGCCAGTTCTTCACGTTTCTGATTCGACTTTGCTATTTACCTCACTCTTAGAGCCCCTTGTAATTTCGGTAGTTCTCCTAGAGCCTTTGTACGAGTTTAAAGGTTTTTCTCCTGGCACAGATGCTGGTCAGTAAATGATGTTCGCATTTTCATGCAAGCTGATACTTGTGAGGTTTGAGATAAGCTGGGTGGTTCGTTCGACTATTGATATCATAATCCCGTCTTTGTAGTTTAACCTTACCCTACCCCTATTCTCACTGCTGGAATGTGAGCATTGAACGGGAATATTTTATTTATCCACTTTTTCCCTTTCTTGTCTCGATTTATCCTGTTGTCAGATGCGTTTCCTCATTTAAAGTGTTTTCTGGCAGCCAGCGATATGTTCTGCATACGCAAACACATAAGTGGTTCGCAACTCCGCGGGTCGACTTATGTTATCAGGTGACCGTCGAATATGGTCCCTAAATCTACACAACTCAACTTTTTGCTCTCTTTACTAGTCAGCGACCTAGAAGTATTGCCTTCCAACAGAAGACAGACAGGAAATGTCGTTTCTAACTCACCTGTGATTCTAAGTCTGTCATACCTTAGTCTCAGGCCAGGAGGACTTACAGTATAAACTCAGAGAAATCCGAACGCTGAGCTCAACCAGACATGTTGGGGATCACTGATATTTATCTGTCTGCTTTCATTGCACGGCTAGATATGAACCGTCCTGTTGCTTGTGGTCTCTGTCCATAGTTTTCGCAGCCGGCGACAGCAGCCAATTAGTTATCGAGAAGAATTAACGACGGAGACTGGCGCCCTTATTTGAAGTCGGGGAACGACACTCGCTGGATTATGCTCGTAAACTACGGCTATCAGTAAGCGCAAGTGCAGATGCGGTCGCCAAACCGGGTTCTGTTTCACGTAGGCACTGTGACAGTCGATATGTCCTGTCGGTTATTGACATCGAAAACTGTTTGCCTGAGGAGATTTGCATTCTATTAAATGTTTTGGAGAATTTCTATGTGGTTGTTGCTGTCAAACTGTTAACTGCCGGAACGGCGAGAGCAAATGAAAGTTTTCGCAAAAAATATGCTTACTCAGCAATGTTTGACTGACATCTCAAAATCCTACCTGTACTTGCTACGCCTGAAATTGTAGCTAGTCTAATCGACCTCCCCGATGTCGATAGTACTCCTCCGCGCTCAACGACTGCCGACAACGAATCAGGAGAGTTCGACCCACGTTTTTTCCCGATGGCAAAGACTGAAGGTCTGAAAATCGCCTTTGTATCTCGAGCGTGATTTTCAGCCAACCTCGCCAACACCAATTAGGCGGCCGATTCGAATGTAGGACGGCAGAGCTTAACTCATGGGGTAGATTACGAAGAATGTGGCATAACCGCTTCTTTCTTGACTGGTGTGGCATATCCCTGGATGCCTCAGCTTATAAGGACCGACCTGCTCGTAACTTAGAAAATTCCCATCAAGTAACGGTGGTCGAAATCATCCCGTCCCACCTCGTCTTCCACGCACACGGCAGTTCGACCGTCGTTACCGACATTGTATACCATGTGCCCCGCTGTATGGTGGGCGTAGGGACGATGACTTGCGCGGGAATTAGTTTATGATAATTGTGGTCTTACACTGCATTGTTGCACTCGCCCCATGATAAGCACCTATCGCACTCTTCTCCGCTGTCCAAACAAAGTCTTGAAGACCGGAGGCGTGATCGGACGTAGTGACTGACAAAGTTTAGCAACCCGTCTACGTGCGCCACGCGCATATGGTCCGCGCACGATAGACCAGGCTTTCGAAGAGAGCAAGAGGGCGGCTCTGACCTCAATCGGGTGGGAGTACCATTGAAACCTTGTTAAGAAGGAGCAATTTCAGTCTGACTCTAGGTCCTTAGAGGACCGAGTTACCTGTCAGTTGGCAGCCTTCCAAGCCACAGCTTTTAGTGCACCGTTATGATTTTTAAGCGCGTCGAATTGTTTGTAGTGAGGAATATGTGTTGAGTGCCGCAGGGAGAGGGTCTCCAGAGTCGGCATTAATCCCAAGTACTGGTGCCGAAGATGACCGACAGATACATGCAATCCGTCTATGCATGCCACACATTACATACCACCAAAATACCAGGTTTTCACACAAAGGGGTTGGCGACTCGGATTTCATATGCGTGGGTGTCATGGGGGCCACATTAAAAAGGAATCATTGAGCCCCGCTCCCAATCCATCAGTCAATCACTATACGCACGCACATAAGGCTGACTAGGAGGGCTGAGTTGTATCGTCGGTTGGCATCCTTCCAAGTCACGGCGTTTAGCGCGTTGTGATAGGTTCTGGCGCGCCGGGTCTATTATAGCCAGAGATATGACGTATAGACGTTGCGATGGATTCTCCAGAGTCGACCTCACTCTCATTTCTCTCCAGCGTACCAGTCGACTCCCAGCCATCGGGTGCTCGGGTTGGGCGCAGTGGCTGATGGAACTGCAGGGGCCCGTCTACTTATGCCACACACGACCTGTTTTGACAGTCGCGCTAAATAATACGCCTCCCATGTACGTACGAGGTGCCCGTCTCGTGTATGGGGTAAGTAGTGTGGGGAAGGTTCGTGTGTGGTGTGGAGAGTGGTGCGTAGATGTCTGGTCCTGGGGGTTTGGTCTGTAGAGTTTGATGTAGATCTTCCTGGAGGTCCGCATGACCGAATAGGCCTATGAGGTGACTGAATGTGCGTGGACAGTGCGCACAGTTGAGGTGAGGACAGCGAATGCATGCTGGTGCTTCGTGTACTGGTTCGTCAGTCTCATTGCGATGGATTTGCAGCTGACCGAACACTCCGTTGCGGTATGTGACGATACGCTCTCAATAAGGAGAGGCTGGGATCAAGTCTGCATTGCTGGCGGCGGTGGCAGTAATGGTGACTGGCGGAACGCCGGAGGTATGCTCACCGGTGATGGCTGTCGTCATCGTCGTGGGGCTTGCGGCAGGGGTGACGATGGGGGTGTTTGCGGAGGCAGTAGGTGGAGTGGTCACATTATTTTGTTCGGTCCGAAGCTGTGCGATTAGGCTGGTCCGCACGCGGAATGTCAGTTTACGACGGTAACACGATGGAATAAGCTAGATGTTGAAGTTGCGGGTCTTCGTAAAAGTTATTCTTCAGCTCATTGGAGCTGGTCCTTGGGGGTCGTAGGCGCTAACGATGGTGGTGAATTAGGTTTCCGGAAGAGGCAGGCGTAAGTCGTGGGATTGTCCTTGATGCCTTGCGGCAGACAGGACAACCGTTTCACGATGTCCCGGATGATAAACGACGCCATCTTTCCGTCGCGCTGACTTCAGGTGTCCGCCCCAGATGATAGTGTGGCAGACACCTGCATCCTCCACCCGACTCTGTTCAGAGAATAAGGTCTCTCTGAGGGCCACACTGTCCACCTTGTGTCCCACCAGTTCTTGAGCGACCAATTCTCTTGTCTTTGGTCAATTGCTCAGCTGATTGTGTTGAAGAGCGAAAATCTCAGGCTGCCAGATTTAACAGTCACTCTAATAGCCTGTAGGGCTGGGCGGAAGGGGTCAGGGAGAGGGAGGTTGTTTCTTGTTATTGTCTTGACCACGAAAGAAGGTTGCCCTTTCGTTATGAATAGGCTTGGGGTTCTGAGACTTGGAACGGGTGTAGGACATTTCAACTGACCTAATTTCTGCAGACTTATTAGCGTTGGTTATGGATCTACTGTAACATTTTGTGAACACTTGTAGCTCTTTATGTAAAGAAACCGTGGGAAGCCTCCCGTACCTTTGGACACCTAGTTTTTTTTTGAAACGAATTCGATTTAAGACACTTGCAAAGCTGCAAAGTACCCTTTAAGTACTACATTTAAGGAGTTAATAGCCCACAAAACGAGTGTTTTTGTGCACTTTCCATAAAAAAAGAAAATTTATGCGCGCACTAGAATCTCTTATAAATTTAGCACTAGTTAAGCAGTCAGTTCATAACGAGGGTGATTTCCTCAGATGGCCGATAAAATACCTGGAACTCGGCACTCGGCCCTGCAGGAAATACATTGTGACTGTTTTGCATGATGACAAGTGTTTTGATCCCACCAACGTAACGTGTTCGAATTGAAACCATGCTTTTAAATGTTAAGTCACAGTTTAAAGAGTCTCGCCGTCAACATTATGTCTCTCAGGTTGGATGCGTCTCCATACCCTTCACCTACCTATTTTGACCTTTTCAGTATGGGTGGCGCTGTTGCGGTCCACGTGGCACAGAAGCGTGCAATCCCATCCCTCGCAGCCCTCGTAGTGATTGACGTTGTGGAGGGTAAGCAGTATATAAATGTATAAATGTACACTGCATCAACATTTTTGCCTCCAGGACACCTTCTTCCAGTCCCTACCTGCGGCTAGAATTTAATCCAACCTCTTTTTGCATTTCGCCGTTGCCTGTCCTATTATGCTACTCTTGCGTAGGCCTGTATTCTCCTGGCGGTGTGCTGTCGATATAAGGTCAGGGTTGTTAGTGACCTCGTCTTAGGTCGTGTTTAAAATTTCGATATTTAGTTTACATCGTGGTACCTCGAATACTGTGCGCTTTGTACTGCCTCCCATTATAGGCACGGCTCTCGAGTCTCTGTACGGCATGACAGCATTTCTACGCAGCAGGCCTCAAGGATTTCATTCCCTTGCTCACGGCATTGAGTGGTGGTGAGCTGTTTCATAATCGCATTATATATCCTTTATTATTTTTCTCTGTTCATTTCCGCCTTATCACCTGCCCGTGTGCATGCACGTAGTAGCTTTCTTAAAGGGTCGAGACTTGGTCCCTAGCCTCTCTGCGGTCACCAGATGCATCCATCGGTTGATTAGGCAAATGACGAGTCGCTCAGTGAGTAGTCATGGATCGTCCAGCAATAACCCCAGCTTCGTGCCAATCCTCCAGCGCAAACGAGCACTAGCTGCGATAGCTCTCAATATCGTACGCACATGCACAAGTATGCTAAGGTCCGCGTAGCTAAGTTGGAATTACGTGAACAGCTAAACATTTGAGAGCTTTCTTACCCAAGGGCGTAGCAGTCGCAGACAAACCTACCCATTAATCTGCTCTAGTAACTAGGAAACTTTCCGATACGGTATCTAGTGTAGTCTACTGATGCACCTCCTCCTCGGCTGAAGATGCAATTATAGTCTCCCTACTTCAGCTGTTTTCTAGAAGTCCTTCCCAGCTCTAACCGTCCTGGCAAGTGACAATGGGTCGGCATTGCCTCGTATCGGTATTATTAGTGTGAATGATGACTTGACCCCTTATTATACTCACTCCCCACCCCGTTTGCAGCGTCAGGACCGGACAGGTGCGTAATCCTGAATCTGCCAGGGTCTCCTTCCCTGGCCAACTACGGCGTATGTGCACCGGGGAAACGGCCACTTGTGAACTGGATCGCGGTGTAGCCTTCATTGACGTCAACACCCATGGGCCGCATAAATCGGGCTCCACTGACGACCAACGTGGTCTTTCTGCTGTGCCCGAGGCTAGCGACATGGAGACGACGTCAGAACACAGTTTTTCTACGGCAGACGTCAAGGAAGACGTGAGCAGTCACGATGTCCTCCCGAATGCAACAGAAACCATAGCCGACAGTATTGTACGTAATTGTATTTCTGCCTTTTGAGTCGACGCCTTTTTGCCACTTGTCCATTTACTGCTGATAAAACGGCATCGATGAATTTTTCTACAGCTTCACCTCTAGCTTGCACGATTGTTTGCCCGGATTATTCGATTTACTGGGCATTAAGTTTCAAGGTTGTGCTGTATGTGTGTTTAATTTAACCGTATTACTGTCAATTCCGCCGTGCCCCGATGATTTTCGTCGACATACTATTTCTTGAGTCGCCGTTAGGGTTTTGAGGGCTCATTCACGGGGTAATCACCACTGAGGCCTTGTTAAGCCACGCTGCAGTTGACTGCAGGACATGTTCTATTTTGTGACGGACCACGCGAATCCTCCCTCACCCCCGCCGCCCCCCCCCCGTCTGTTCTACAGTGTGTCATCAAGTAACAACGCCATGTAGAGACTGAATCATTGAGATGCAGGCGGATAAACAACGGTGTACATAGCTCTAGTAAAGCCATGTGTCTTCAATTCCTGCCGCTTATTCCACAGGCGCAATTATGCTTATCTAGTTAGAGTCCGTCTACCCATTCCTGGCGTGGTTTAAGAGGCCTATCCTCAACCTTGTGAGGTAGATGAGACATCATCCAAATCGTACTCAGCACAAGTAGCTGGCAATCTTAATGTGCCATCCAAAAGCTCCGCTGTTCGGCCAGGCAACTCAGGATACCGCTCATTCTACTTAGCATCTCACGCAACCCCGACAAAGAAGCAGTTTGCAGAGGCCATGATGTACGAAGTCAAGCTAGTTACGCATACTGGCCTGACAAGAAGGAGAAGGGATTGGCTATTTAAATTCTGTAGTGCGAATTTAATAACTCAGCCCAACTGCCCGCAGCCCTGTTCTTCCCCTCTGTTCTGTCTGGCCCCTGAAGGTTGTTGGAGGCGGATCGATCATGGACAGAAGGGGACAGCAAACGTAATCAGTACGCGGTTGGTCGGTGTTTAAAATCATCTTTCGTTCAGGGTGATCCATTTGCGCGCGCTTCCGAGGTCGCGGCCGCTTAGAGGGAAGAAACCGAAGTGATGCAAACAACTGAACTGCGAAACTGAACTCCCACTGATCCGTTAGTCGATAAGTACTAATTCCCTCTCCTCTCCCCCTGTCTTACCAACTGACCAAGTTTATAGTCTAAAAGTTAAATGGTAAATGAGTTACCATACTGACATCGCAGGTACTGAGTAAAAGCCCAGACATGTATTTCACCGATTCTGTGGCTCTACGTGACGCTGTTGCGAAAATTTCGTCCCCATATGCTTTTTAGAAACTACTCCAGTTTTAAATGTTATTATCGCGTCGCCGATTTTTCATATAATGTCCATCCGTAACACGATCGGTGAGCTCCCCTCTACCATTGTATATTCCCTATCACAACCGACAGGACAAAGAACCCGTGGCTCAGTGATTAGAGGCGTAGGACTTCTAACCAACAGGTAGCGGGATCGATCCCCAGGCGCCCAAGTAGTACTACGAGTAGTATGGATGTATATATCAAACGTATTATACCGTACTCCCGAAATAGGTACTAACTAGAAGCCCATACCGTATAGGGACCCCTGGGGACCCACTGATGAGGCAAGCCCCTCGCAGCTGTGTCACGCAGCGGCAAAATATCGGCGAAACACGTGTCTGGGCTCTTAATTAGTATCTTTGTCGGGAGTACGGTATAATACGTCTTATATATGCATTTCATAATACTTGTAGTACTACTTGTTTGTAGAATGGGCATTACGTGGCTATTCAACAGTAGTCGATTGTCTTGGACTCAAATGTTTGTTGAAATTTCGGTTCTGACCCTAAAAGTCATGTCCCGGAGACTTGACTTCATGTCCCGCACTGAGTATTTTCTGAAATTATTCACTTGATATATATACATAGATGTATGAAATCGCCGGGATTTTAGGAACAAGATAACCTTTATTATGCAAATTCTCGGGACTGGTTCTTCGGCTCGTCTCACGCTTATGGGTCTTGTACAAGAACAGTTAACAATTTAACCGTGTCGAACTAGTGATTCTGTGGTTGGCCTATGCCTTCGCTAATGGGCGTCAATTGCATTTCGTCATCCCCTCGGCATTGGCTGCGCTCGCTTCCATTTATCCTTGAGAAGTTTGTACATAAAATCTAAATCGATACGCCGATTGATGCGTGCGTCATCTGAATGCATCGCTTCCAGGAATTCACGGCCCTTATCGTTCAGACGCCAGCAATGCGAGTTTTCTCCCGTGCACATTTGTGTCTAGTGTCCAGTGTGTGCATGGCACCTAGGGTAGATTATTTCGTCTCCTCACGCTAATTGGTGTTCGTGTACACGGGTTGAGTTAGATTCCCCAGTTTGTTTACAATAGACGGCATCGCAACTGGCACATGGAATTTTGTAGACAACACCTTTTCTGTCGAGGTAGCCAACCGTGTCTCTAGAGTGTACAAACTGTGTGCGCAAGGTAGTTGCGCGTTGGTGTCTGCTTGTATCTGACGTCTTTTCAGCTCTCGACGAGCTCAGATACACTTTCCATATATGGGAGAGTTCGCCTCAGTGAATGTTTCAGGTCTCTGGGTGGCCGTCAAAGAGAGACTGCTTTCTAGGCTGCCGGCAGAGTTACGGCGGTCAGTGGGGGTAGTTGCGGTGTGTCAGGCTTCGAGCGTCTCCCCAACCGTTTCCTCGCTCCCTTGATCCAAGATTTCGGCGTATTGGAAAGCGAAGGCATGTCCAGAAACTGCGCAATGTTCCTCAACCAGCGAGGGTTGATCCATTTTTCGCACTGCTCTTGAGTTCTCATTCACACGGGTCTGCAGTCTCTTGCCGGTTCCCTCGACGTAGTTACTCTCACAGAAACTGCATTGGATACGGTAGACGGCATTGGCTGTTTCGTCTCGTGATAGGGGCTTTCGATCTCATGACCAGACGTCTACTTGTTGCCTCGAGTCTGCGGGGGATGCTGAACCCTATGGTTGAAAGAGACAAGCAACTATTTTGGATACGTTCGCAGAGTATGGTAGCATCCACCAGACTCTCGGTCGATTTGCTGTTTGCTTTATAGTTGGATTGAGCCGTCTAATGCGTTTTACGAGGCTGCGGGGATAGTCTATTATCGTCATAAGCTAACTCACGCGCATGTCACCACCTCTGCGCCCACCCTGCCGTGCGGCGCACGGTGGACCTCGTCGGCGACGACGGTCGAACTGCCATTTGCAGCCAGCCTATAGCGCTCGCCTGATTTGTGCAACTTTGTAGTGGACCCTATTCACCAGCGCTGTACCTGGAAATTTACCAGCTACGTCGTGCCGCAGCATCTGCAATTCCCGGAAACTGAGCCAAACTGCGAGGTGGTGCATCGTCTGACGACACTGTGCAGGCCCACCGAAAGCGATACTGGCGGGACTTGGCGTCTGAATCCGCAAGTCCTCACTCCTCTCCCAGCGTCTCCGATATTCGTTGAACGAAGATTCAGACAAGTCGGATGAAACAAGTCAAAACGAAGACAAGCCTCTCCATCACGTCAGGGAGTTTGTGTTAGATTCACTGACAAGAGCAGTTGCTCAAGTAGCCGGTATACTTGGCGGGGTTTTGCCGTAGCTGCCATCCCTGTCGCTGTGGCTGTACGCCACTGTCTGTTGCCGAAACTGGGCCGATATTCCCGCGCCTTCAAAGTAGAGCCACGGTCGATGACGGTTTGTCTATTAGTGTGGTTTGAAAACTCGATCTTTGACCTCAATTGCGCTGCCGACATCGTCTTGCTTGGAGGTTCCTGCCAGGAAATGCAATTTCAATCTGACCCTGTGCCCTTCGCATCCCGTAAATTTGACCCGAACCTGAACGTTGATTATTGTCAAAGCTGCCTTGGTTTATGGCTGCGAAACCTGGCCGCTATGCGCCACAGACCCGGAGGAAATGCAGACGTTCAACAAGCGGCTCCTCCGAAAGTACCTTGACTCATTGAACCACATTTCTGATTTGGAACTCCATTCCTAGTCAGGGACACCCGCTGGAGTTGCAGTAAAATGTTGCTATCGTAGATGGTTCGGTCATGCACTCCGCCGATCCGAAGAAGAGCTCGCCCGCCACTCTGCTTCTCCAGACTCCGGTGTGTCCAAGATGACACCACCGTCCAGGTGGTTAATTTAAAAAAGGTGTACAGATGTCGGTAAGTCAGGTCTTGAGATAATTGTGAACCCAACAGTCCTCGCTGTTAGGGAGAGCCATTGCCCAACCCAGAAGTGTGGAACACCTGGGGCTCGATTCCGCAATCTTTTAATGGGAATTCCACTGCGATGGGTTTGCAAGCGCTAGATCTAAAAGAACCTGAACTCCAAAGAGCGGTATTTTCAGCAACGGTAGTCTTTTGTAGTGCACGAAGTTACATGCGTTGGAAGCGAGCATACCCGCAAGGCCAGTCCGGTGTCATAACGTGGAATAGTAGTAGAGCCGGTTGAGGGAGGCTGTGTTGGCCGTTTAGCATTATTGACGATCGTAGATAGGTTTATTCTAGGTCTGTTGTTTGATCTGAAAACGCTCAGGGGAATTTTCCAAGCTTTCCTCCTGTAGTCATTTTGGTCTTCCTGTGTGCGAGCACCCGTAAGAACGTGCGCATAGAACAGTTAGTTTGTCAGACGCTCATCAGCCACGAATCACAGTCTGCTGTTACAAAGAAGAGGAGTATCCAATCATTGCAACAGTCATTCTATTCGTCCGAGCTTCTGGACCATGCAGGAGCCCATAATCTGGGACGCAACGTGCATCCTGTGCGTGAAATAGGACAGCGCTATCTGACGACGCGCACATAGCAGGATGAGAGTCTATATGTCGGTTTCCCGGGTCGCTGTCAGATATCTAGATCTCCAGGAGTTCGCGCTCTGGCATGTTGCCCGTCCACACAATCCTCTATGTGCCCACGAGGTAGAATTCGCGATCGCTCTCTAGGGGCACACGAGCAAGGGCCTCCATTTTGTGTTTGCTTATTCGTCAGCCGAGTTCTGCTGTCCGGCCTGTTTACTGACAGTGACTGGTTTGGCTTAAGGTCTATTAAATCAGCAGACTTCTTACCTGCGTCAAATTGGTCCTTACTTTGCATGATTCTTGTACCCAAGCATCTGCCGGGCAGTGGGCGATCCCCCACACCAAGTCCTGCGACAGTGTGTTCTGCTGCGTTGATAGTTCTCACCTGTTCGTCCTCCATGCGCGCGTATGGAGGCAGCGCATGATCAAGTTGTTTCGGGTAGCGGTTCACCACTAATTGGTCTCGTAGGCACCGGAGTTCTTGTACTTGTTCCTCTATGTGCGCTTTAGCACATTTGTGACCCAGCTGCGTCTGCTCGCCACTGAGCAGTTTCTGTGCTGAGGATTCGCATTTAGGTACGCCGTGCTGCGGAGTTTACGAGTAAGTCCGTGTAAGCCTTTCCGTCTTGTACCTGTCCTTCCCGCCTTGGGGACTGAATGAGATGAAAGATGTTGTTGGGCTGCCCTCAACAGCGGGGTAGGCCACTTTTACTCCGTTACAACAGGCGCGTCGTCCACGTATCGCAAGACGAATGCGGGTTCGGGATGGTCGATGGCAACTTTTAAGACCATTTCTGCAGTCAGTCTGGAGACGAGAGAGGCCATCAACGTTCCCCGATCTGCTCATAAGTTTTGAAGCTGAAGCTGAAAGTGCTTTGTCTATAGAAACCAGTATCATTAAGTGATTCTTGCGTTCCGTCTGCACAGAATCTATTGCCAAATCCAGCATTGTAGATGTGAATGAAGAGGTTACTTCGAACGATACCGTAATCTTGTCAAGTTTGAAATTTTCTCTCCCCGAATTCGGCGAGGAATCGGAAAAAAAGGATTACTACAAGTTCTTCACATTTGAAGTAAGTTCTCTTTTAGAGCCATCCACTTGGCTAAACCACAAGGGATGCCTCTCTGAACAAGGGCTCCCCGAA